GCCCTGCGGCAAAGCTGTCGTCTGGGTTCCTCTCTGCTCGAGGCAGAGAGTTCGACAGTTACGAACAGTCTGGTCGACTGTTAATGTTTAACATCACCCCCCCCCCTACGTGGGTGTATGTGGCACAAGGCCGGTTTATTGTGGATACCCGAGCCCGTAGGCTCGGCTAAAAATATTTCCTTTGAAGCCACATAAACGGGTTCAGGTACTGTCTACCTCCCCGGAAGAAACTCCTTGTTCCTCTCCCGCGAGGCAGAGAGTTCGACAGAAATGAACAGTCTGTGCGACTTCTCCGCCAAGGCCTTCTCTCCTACTAATCTTATAGTAGGCAGAAGCGTCCAACATAGATTCTTTTGAGGGAGGACACCACAACATATACAAACACATTAAAGAAGAAGAAAAAAGATGATGAAATAGAAGAAGAATGATGTAAGAGAAACTGAATGAAAAAGAAAAGAAAAAGAAAAAGAAAAGAAGACAATTTGAAACAAAAAAAATTAGAAAAATATAGAAAGCAAAAAAAAAAAAAGAAAGAAAGAAAAGAAACACGAAAAAAGAAGTATGGAATAATACTTCTAAAATACTATTTTCTAAAAAGGAGAAAAAAAAAAAAAAAAAAAGAAAATGACAAAAAATGACTAACAAACGTAAAAGTACTGAAGGCACAATACGACTAGAATATTGTTTTCTTTGATGAGCATACGTTTGAATATAAATATCCAGTAGAAAATGACGCGGCCATAGGGCAAGTATTTTCTTCAAGTTCTTTCGTGAGGTTGCATAATCAGTGTCGCCAGTCAATGGTCTTGAATACGACTCTTTTACAAGACAGCCTCTTTCACAGAAACCTGTCATGACAACAGCATGTGTTTCTTCTCAGTGATTCATTCAGAGTCTCGGGGTCAGGGTGAAACGTTATACAACTGAATGTCATCAAGAGACTGTCAGTGCGCCGGTGGCCCAATGATTGGCGCGTTGGTTGGTTAAGGTTCGTTGCTGTCTGACAATTGATCCATCGACGTACATAGATAAATATGGACAACTTGAAATAGATAAGAAGCCTGTTTTGACGAATGGACAGGAAACACATATGGATTGAATAACGGGTAGAGGAAGTAGATTGAAATGAAAAGAATAGCATGAAGAAACTAACATAGGTGGATACAGAGATTCCTACATGGTGTTATCAATGGATTAATATACCAACACACACCTATATATATATATATATATATATATATATATATATATATATATATATATATATATATATATATAGATATACAGAGTTTATAAGAAATACATTTACAAAATTTTGAGGCGGCAGATTCTTCATACAAATTAAGTATAAACTTGTTCATTTCTTAATACACCTTAAGTAAAAATATAAATCCACGCCCCTCTAGTTAAGGGCAAGAAGCAAAAAGTTAACTCTTTTGCACCAAATAAATATGCCGTCTGGAATATTCTTGCCGAATTTATTTTCAGTATGATTATAAGGATATATGATATAATGGCCGACAAGTACTCATTTCTAAAATCGTACGTCTGAAACAAGAGCTAGCTAATTACAAATGCCAATTTTAAAGTACAGAGCCCACCTGTGATTTATAGTGGAACTATACTGAGGCTTGGTCATTTTTTTTTTCAAACAAAGCCAATACTCTCAAAACTTCGGTCATTATAAATTAGGATATCATACTAGCACAACCATAGACAGATGCATAACAGTTCAGTTGAACCAATATCTCCCACAATGGATGCCTGAAATCATGCTATGGTTTTCAGGGTCTTTCTAAATGTGTCACACTCCCTCCCCGAATCGATGACGGTGAAATTTAGATATTATATGTTGAAATTCACATCGGGTATTTATCATATTTAATATAGGTAAAAAAAAAAAAAATTAAGTTCGGAGAGCTTATGCAAGTTTGTTTTTGTAAAACACTGATTTGCGTGATAAAATCTGGGATATATATATATATATATATATATATATATATATATATATATATATATATATATGAAATGAAAAAGCATTCTTGAAGATTTCATTTATGCTTTAACTGAAATCTCAATGATTAAATTTACTATTTTCAGTAAGCAAAATACTTTTGGTGTATTTCAAATAGAAATTATATAGATTGCGATGTCAACTTTTTGCTTACTTTCGCAAAATCGATTACAAGCGGCCATTTTCTCGTATGTTAACACATTTGTAAGCAAAATTTAATTATTGGTTTTAAAAATCTTCCAAAAATAAAGTATACATTTGTGACACGTTATTTGAGGAATATTAGCAAAACAAATATCACTTACTTATAGTATAAAAACGTAGTATATAAACATTTCTTAAACCTGGGTCCTGTTTTGTCTGACGTTTCGATTGATCTAAATGGACTAATGCGACCTTTGAACAACGAGACCTTTGAATAATAATATAGAATATCATACATACAAAAATGGAAATGTTTAAACTAAAAAAAATATCTTAAAAATATTGGAGGTAAACGACTTTTATTAACCTTTTCAACCATTGATTCGAAAATATAGTTCCCATTCAATTATAATATCAACTAATGCAGAATTTTAAACGATTTTAAAATTATTATAAATTATTATAATTAAAACTTAAAAAAATGCAAATAATTCTTATAAAAATTCATTATTCATCGAAATCATTTTTTTAAGCCAATAGTATTCTTAATATATCTTATTTATAAAAGCAATTAAAAGTTTTTTTTTAATTAAATGATATAGTTTCATTGAATTTTTAGTTTAAGATTCGGAGCAGATTTTCGGGAAATGAGGAGTAGTTTGAAAAAGAAAAATGCATGATTTACATTCTCCAAAGAGTCCTACTTTTAACTAATAAAAAGGTTTTGGAAAGAAAATTTAATTTCCCGAAATTTCATGAAATTAAGTAACATAAGTAAAAAAAAGATTACCAAGATTTTCTAAAAAAAAAAAAAAATTCCAAAATAATTTAATTTATTTGTGAATAAGTCTTGTGATATATATATATATATATATATATATATATATATATCAGCCCACAGATGCATTTATATTGTAGGCGGACAGTTGTTGCGTAGTGGATATTTGCGTCCCTAGTCAAATGTGTCCCTGGATAATTGCGTACATCTGATAATTTTTTGAAGTTACCATTTTTTTTTAAGAATCGTTTAATATAGAAATTTAGACACCAATACCTTTAATTAGTCTAAACAAGGAGAAAGGTAGTTACCATAAATAA